ATTGGCCTCAACCCATGGCCGAGGTAAGTTTTGGCCGAATTAGTTGTACACAATATTTTCAAGCTTTAAGTATAATATTACTGCAAACTTATATTAGATATGTTGGAATGGTCTATTGGATAGAACTTCACCCTGATGAGGGATGGAATCCTGGCCATACCTTTTTTTTTAACACGGTGCAATAACCAACATGCCATCCCTTATTTTGTTAATAAAAAAAGGCACTTGTATATATATATAACCATTATTTTTCATCATTTCTTTAAAAAGAAAATGAGATGGACTCCGACAAGTTACTCGGACTTCCTTTATTTCGTTGATAAAAAGAAAATGAGATGGAATCTGACAACTTACTCGGACTTCCTTTATTTCGTTGATAAAAAAAAGGCACTTTTATATATATATATATATAAACTACTATTTTTCATCATTTCTTTAAAAAGAAAATGAGATGGACATGGACAGGTTATTCGGACTTCTCGAGTACCTCGCCTCGGCTAGGACCCAAGTACCTTGGCCAAATCGAGTTGATTTTTTTAATATTGATTTCCAGTACTTTCTACAAGCGTGGTACATTAAGTTTTATTTTTGTTGCCTTGCTGATAGAATCTCAATCTCTCCCCCCCTCCCCCTCGCCGTCCCCCTCCCCCTCCCCCTCCCCCTCACTCTCTCACTCATAGAATCAGCATGAAATCGTGGACGCACCAATTCAGATCCCGAATTTTCTAACGGCAAAATCATAAGTCAAATCATAAACTCCGGACCTCAAACATTTTGGAGATCCCAAAAATCTTCAGTGATATGCATTCCTGCTCGAGCACACTGAATATACACCATTAGGTAAATGAGAGGATTTTCTTCATGCAATGAGGTATAAGATAATTATTTTAAGGATCCATTTTGGAATCTCCATATAAGTATTTAATAGAAATCATAAACTTATTTTTAGTTCCTAAACACTAAGATCCAACACTCCAAAAATTAGACAGCCTCTCTTCAATATTAGGACATTACATTTTGAGGCTTAGGGGCGCATGAAAATCTTCTCTTTTGATATTACTCACTGGGTTGCTAAGGTTATATCCCTGTGGTGTCCTACAATACTTCCTGTATGATTAAGATAATAAAAGTGAATAGACAGCATGCTCCCATGGCATTATATCAACTTTTTTTGGTTTTTTGGGGGGCTTTCTTAGATATGAAAAGTGTTTTGTGAGTTGAGGGACTCACTAGCCCGCACAATCACAAACGTCCATCTTTAAGATAAACATCCACAACTAAAGATTCCTATCCAATGGATAGGAAAAAATACTAATACAAATATTGTAAAATCTTATTTTATATTTTTATATTCATGACCATCATAGTGTAGATCATGGATCACTACAAATTTAGATATACAAATAATGGGTATTCAAGGGAGCTCCCATGAAAATAGTATGAAACGGGGGAATCATAAAAACCGGGTCCCTTAAATATTTAACATTCAAGACCCTTTCAAATAACTTTTTTAATTGAAGGACATATTGGTCAATGTCCTTATTGTTAATGGAAGAGGGATCATAAATCACGTTTTATAATCCGTGTTCTTTGTGCTAACAAACCAGGCCCAAGTCACAAGGACAAGAGAACCGCTCATCCTCAACTTTGGGGCCACCAGATATAGCCACGTGTCAAGCATGGCGAGCTATATAAGCCTCACTCCACTTCATCTCTTGGCACCAAAAGAAGTTTACAAAAACTTGAGCACATTTAGTTGTTAATTCCCTGGTTTTTTTAATCCATTTGTTTTACTTTTAAACTTGTTTTCTGGGAAAATGGACCACTCTCAGCAATTGTACAAGGCTGGGGAAGCCCGAGGCCATGCTCAGGTTTGGCTCGCCTCTTTTATTCCATGATCTTTAGGATCATCACCGTCGATTTAAAGCAACAGATGATGATCGAGAGGGAGAGTGGGACCGACCATCACATAAGTAATGCGTCCCACTTGCTCTATCACTGTCTGACACCTAAATGGACGATGGTGGAGCCTTGAAGCTTATGGTTTTCACATAGTCATTAGGACTATAGTATAGGTTGCCCCGAAAATGATCGACATTTAACACTTTTTGAATTTCTGTTTTGTAGGCCAAGACTGACGAGTGGATTCAGTCTGCAAAGGACACCGCAAATGCGGCGAAAGATAAGACATGTGATGCAGCCGAATCTGCCCGAGACTCTGCACAACAGAGCAAGGATGAGACCTCCAACTTCTTCGCACAGGTCAATTTCGTTTCCATCATGACCTTATCTTTTTGTTGAGGAATGGGCTTTAAGCTAGATGGTCAGGATTAGGATGGTGGGTTGCCATGTCTAGAGTTTCACTCAATCCACAAATAAAGGATCTTATCTTCATTGAACCACCCAAAAAAAGAAATTAATAAAACTTTTGGAAGGGAATTTATCTGATTGAGAACTTCTTATAAATTTTTGAGATCCATGAATTTGAATCCTGCTCATTTCAATGTTTGGTAAGAATTCACGGGCTTTCCCAATATTTAGCACTGAAATATTCCAATGTTGGGTGGTGATGCATGAGCCTTTCCCAACATTAGCAATAGATCCACTGATAATTTTCTAAGAAGAGAACTTTTCTTGATTCTGAGGGAATTTACCAAAGCACTCTTAACACATCAACTATTTAATATTCCGCCCATGAGGGAATTTACCAAAGCACTCTTAACACATCAACTATTTAATATTCCGCCCATTTATGGAACACACTTAAATATCTATTGTAATTCATGGGTGTATTACTTATGGGTATTCTGAAATTGAATTAAAAGGAATAGGTGAGACTATTTCCTATATTGGGTACTTTTTGATAAATTACAAGTAAACCCGCTTTTTTTTTTTTTTTTAAATCGCCCCACGGTCAACTTGAATTTTGATTATTAATTTTTTTAAGCTTTTTTTGTAGTTTTTTCATTAGTATAGTAGTGCCCCAATCTTTAAGGCACTGCCCTACTAAAAACTAAAAATAAATAAATAAATCGAAATTAGGTTGACCGAGGGGCAATTTTAGAAAAACAAAAGCCGGTTGACTTATCTTGTTTGTAATTTTCATATATAAGTGGAACATTCTATTTTACCTAAAATTTTAAGATCTGTACGAAAATCACTATTTTTTATATGCCGCTAATTTTTAGGGAGGATGAAATTGCCACTGGGATCGACCGGTTCCGTAGAGGAACTGAGAATCACCCAATTCTCTTTGTTAATTTTAAAAAATAAAAAATAAAGAATAATAATGGTATATGCTATCCCAACGATAAATGTGGATAAAATGGATGGCTATGTAATGTGTGTGCCTGTGATGCAGACTGGAGAGCAAATGATGAACATGGCTCAGGGTGCTGTGGACAGTGTGAAGAGCACTCTTGGAGTGGGAGATCAGCAGCCCAAGAAGTGATCAAGCCATGATGATCACAAGAGATATAGTGACTCTTTACTCTCTCTTCATACTCACTCTTTATTCTCTCTCTCCCTATGTCCTCTGTTTAGCATAGTGGTCTAACTAAATATATATCTATCTCCATAGCTATATCTTGTGTTTAGAGAAGTACTCCTAGTAATTCTCTCATCTTGTGTTTAGCAAAGTACTCCTAGTAATTCTCTCATCTTGTGTTTAGAAAAGTACTCCTACTAATTCTCTCTCTCTCTCTCTCTCTCTCTCTCTCTCTATATATATATATATATATATCTTGTGTTTAGAAACTTCTCTCTCTGTATTCAGTGTCCGCCTCTTTCCAGTATCTACCTTTAGTGGTAGGATAGTAACTCTTTCTCTCCAAGTTTGTGTTTAAAGTAGAACTCTCTCTCTCTCTCTCTGATGAGTCTCTCTCTTGCCTGGTTTGCTATATCAAAGGAAGTTGCTCTTTAGTAGAAGGTCACTATATCTCTTGGCACAGTTTCCTATTTCTTTATGGTTTTATGTTTTGTTTATGTGAGTCTTTAGCAGGCTCCTTAGTAGGGAAGTCATGTTTATCTTGGCAAGAGAAGGTCTGGTTTTTGGAATATAATAAGGAGAACAGCTTACTGCAATTGAAGTTCTATGACTTTGCCCTTTTGCAATTGTAAGGTTTGATTTGGTCCATAATGAGATTGAAATGGTCCTTTCTACAAGTTTTCCTTCTTTCAAAGTTCTAATCAAATGGAAGTTGAGCACTGTAATACTCTCTCTCTCTCTTTCTCTCTCTATATATATATATATATTTATATATGGACTTCTTGATAATGGGATCCGCACACAATCAATGAGAGACAATCACAATAAAATTTACAAATCTTTTTCAGATATAGTTGAAAGCAAAGAGAGAAGATTTCACGAAACTCTAATCGGTAAACGAGTCAATTATTCGGGTCGTTCTATTGTTGTGGGAGCCCTTCACTTTTATTACATCAATGTGGATTACCTTGAGAAATAGCAATAGAGCTCTATAAGACATTTGAAATATGTGATCTAATCAGACAACATGTTGCTTCCAACATAGGCATTGCTAAAAGTAAAAATCAAGAATATATATATATATATCAGTGTTCGTAAAATTGAACCGGAACGATTAACCGGTCAAGTAGATTTGTTTTAAAAAAAATGAGTCAAAAACCTCCAAAAAAATAAATAAAAATAAATAGAAAAACTTAGATTAAGTGTATACTATCATATTACATGCATTTATCTTACCAAAAAAATTTGAAATTTTTTTTTATATAAATTAATATTTAAATACTATGGAGATATGCAAGGCAATTTATAATTTGACATTAATTCAATTAATGAAGTTACAAAGTCCAACTAACAATGGCTAGTAGTAATGAGAGTGGTGATGGGGATCATGGTGTCCATTCCCTTGTTACAAAAATTACATCGAACTCTTATTTTATCATTCACTTTTGTGCCATACTGCCACGTCACATGTCCCCTCCTCATCTTCTTATTTGCTTGTAAATTTTCCTGAACATAAAAATTCATTAAAAAAATATTTGTTTGAGACATTTTTGCCTCAATATTTTACCCAAGCAATGTGCTCTTTGCATTTTCAATGACCCCAAAACGAAATAAAGTGTTACAAATTGATCCATCCCTTTTTGCATAATGCAACTCAAGGTAATTAAGCATACAATTAAACACACAAAATAAATAAATAAATAAATGAAGTACAAACAAAATTTCATTGTTAAAATTAAAATATTTGCAACAAATATTTATATCTATTTCTTTATGCGCCATAGAAGACAATAGTAAAAGAAAAAATAAACTATGGATGATGCAACAATATATACTTCTATATTGTTTTAATGTTGATATTGAAAAAAGTTGTTTTAATGTTGAAAAACCCTTTAATACCGTTTAGAATTGGGTTTGAGAGCATATATTTTTATAGCATGATGTTCCCAATTCTTTGAAGGGTTGTGAGTCAAGGTAGTAAGAGAGAAAACCTCATTTACTCAGTAACTTGGTTATCAAATGCAAGGTGTGGCTAAATCGCTTATTTTAAAAAAAATATGGCCAAATCGATTTTCAAATGGCCAAACCTCATTTACTTAGTAACCTTTTGAGTTGGGTTTTAACATGAAAATATATATATATATAAAAGATGGCAACTTTAAAATGTAGAATTAAGATGCATATTTAAAAAAACAGGTTAATTTTTTATCCATTTCAGCATGTGGAAACATGAGAAATGAGTAAAACACTTTTTAGTTTCTACCTCTTTACTTCATAGAGGTTAATAAACAGATTTCAGGAGTATGAAGTTACAACAAATAATAGATAAATTGTAACAAATAAAAAAATAAATTAGAATAAGATGTTACAACCAAACAAGAAGTTGAGAACACAGACAACAGATACACCAACAGTCAGCTGTCAAATTTTTCATCAAAACGAAAAAAATCCACAATAACCCCATAAACCAGCAATACATGAACAAAAAATTAGGATTGAGGAGCAAAAAAATGATGCACAGGAATGAGGAGCAATGAGACCTTGAATCGAGGGGAATTAAGGAGCAAAACAAAATCATTATACAAACAAATAAATAAATAGTTAGAGAAAAATAATAAAGCACTACTGATCATCCATGAAAAAGAAAAGCAAAGTTGACCATTGATAGATTATTCCTCTAAATTATCATGACCATGAATCAATAAATAGCCTTCATAACCAAAAAGTAATCACCTCGGCAACAAAAGATATTCTAGATATTAACCTATATTGCCACAAAATTTGTGCCTTTCGTAGACATCAAACTTAAAATGTAGAATTAAGATGAAAAAATTTATATAAGATCCCAATTTT